GTATTGCTTAGAGATATTTATTTCGTAGTCTTCATTAAAAATATTGTCAAGTGTATTTATTTCAAAATTTAGCAGAAAAAATTAGATTATTATTGGTCAACTTTGAAGCTAAAACTTCACTTATCTGCTCTTTTTTATTCTAGGTTGTACTCTCTTTTCAGTCCGCTAGCTGCCACTTGGACGATTTTGTATTCACCTTGATATGTAAATGTCCACAGACCGAATTAATAGATGCGTTGTTGCGAACGCTCAATTGGCAACTGGCAATTGCCAAACTCGAACATGCAACATCTGTGTTGGATGAAAAAGAGGAAAATGGGATTTGTTTTGATGCGAAGCAACCTTCAATTCTCGTTGAATTGTTTAAGGATACCTCTTCTACCTGCCCCAAAGAGACTACAGAAACCTTGGCTAAATTGAAAGCTGATGCGCCTCAGGATACTTGTCACCAGGTTCCAAATACTGTTGCAGAGCAACTAGGACGAACTACTGAATCAGTTAATACTATAGCTACTATCGAGTCGGATGGGGGGTCAAGTCAAATATCATCTAGCCTTGCTGGTAGGTTCTTTGATCGACGCGAAAAACAGGATTTACCAAATCAGAGGGAATCAAAAATTCGACCTGCTCTTCGATTGGAGCAGACAGATCGGATGTGTCGTGCGGCGGGACGATTTGTTCGCTCAGTCGCTCGTATTTATACCTGCCTAGCCCTTGAACTTACTCCTGATTATTATAAAAAGAAAACGTGAGTAATTTCCTTTAAATTTTCATTTAATCTCATTTTGCTTCTTATCTAATTTGCGATATATATATATATATATATATCTAAATGTTTTACAGCCGTCCCACACTTTCGCAAACACGTCCACTTGAAGTTTGTCGGCACATTTTCTTCAAACTCGCTCCTATTGTGCTGGCGGAACTTCCTGTTATTGCAACCGGCCTTCTGGGTCCAGTCCGGACCGGGGCCCTTCGTCCTTCCGCCTTTTTCTCCCTCTCAACTCAATCAAATGATGCAATAAACGTGAGTCAGACTTTGAGTCTAATTCTTTATTTTGTGTGCTCTGTTATACCATTTTCTAACTAATTTTTTATTAGATTTGCCATCATTATAAATATATTACGTTAAATGGAAATATAACCCAAGTCCCAGTTTTTCGTTGGGGTATCCTATCACCAAATCTGCGAAAGAGTGCTTCAGACCCTGTCTCGTGCATATTTTCTATGAAAAGCTCATCTTCACCCTTCATGACCTTAATATTTTAATCCATTTCTTTCTAGAGTATTCAATTAAACTAATATTTTAATTTTAGGGCTTGGAGCAAGTGCTTAACATTGAACGCTCTCAAGCTACCAGGCGTCAATTAGCTTTACTTTCTGATGCCCACAGTTCATTGAATCTGCGTTCTCACATGCCTACTTCAGGAGCTCCCGAAAACCGTAGGGACTCTAACTCGAGAGGCCAGCGGCCCCAAGTGAGTGGTCATCGTCACCTATCTTTATTTGCGTTTTTTAAACTAATGATTAAAGGATATTTTTGTATATGTATATGATACTTATTTGTATAAGCTAATTACACACGAATGTTTGGCTGTAATTAGCAAGAAGTACGCCTATATTTCGAAGAATCTTTTAATAACTTAATGTCACTTGAAAGAAAAGTTGGAATCACTTCGTAAATTAATCGCACCACAAACCAAACGGGGATCGCCTTGGAGTTTAGACTTGATTTATGCGAAAATGTCGAAGGTGCATCTTTGTGCGTCCCCTATAAAAATCATGCTAGAGTTTTTCGTTTATAAGTAGGGTTTCGAGACCACCAGTGAATCAGTTATATGAATTATATGGTTCGACTCCCACTAAGGGTGTTGATAAGACCTAGGTAAGGTCAGAACTGCAGTCCACCCTGAATAAGAACGCTTTTTGGGAAAACAAGACTGCGAAATTCAATGGAAGCGTCGTCTACTTATATTATTGTGGGAAAATTCAACTACCGGTCCTTCATCACCATTAACGAAATAGGGTGAATACATTTCATATGCTGGCTTTTTGTTTATCACTCCACAGCTGAATAGCTTATTCGAAGGTATGAAGAACAAGATGGTGTGACCTCTTGTGTGGTCGCAGTCTCCTTTCGTTGTATACTAGTTATTTGACCTTGTTTTCGCAACTTGGTCATATTGGTAGGAAGACTTAGAGGAACGCACCTAGTGGCTTATTGGTTCGGGAGCTTTCCTGAAGAATAATTTTTTGTTTCCACGATGTCTGTTCATGGCTAACGAAAACTCGACGGTGCTTCATTTGCATGGCATGATGGAGCCTCTAGGACTACTTTGCATTAATTAATATTCATTATGATTAGACAAATCCTCTTGGGTTTTGAGCGAAACCATTTTTCGCATTCCTTCAACCCAACTTTTTCTTCGTATCCTAGGCTAGGCTAGGCCTATATTTTATTGAGAGGATTTATCTTTTTTTCATATTAACTTTCATACAATTTAATAAGATTATAACTTTATAGAAGTTGTTTGACCTTGTTTTCGCAACTCGGTCATATTGGTAGGAAGAATTAGAGGAACGAACCTAGTCCGGAGTCCATTGTATGCACCATCATTTCCAGAGTAGGACCGTGGACGTGGTACATTCCCAGACGTTTCGCCGGCATCGTCAGTGAGTCTCGCCATTCTTAGCACCATATTACAACTCAGCAAAGAGACAAGTGAAGCCCATCTTTTGACCAAACGTGTGCTAAACTGTTGTGGTATCTCCACTTCTGTCCTGGGCTATTCACATTTCCTATATCCTCCTATAATGCCTTCCCTGTCACAATTTTTAGCGTGCTCATTCTTAATGTAGTGTAATGTGCTTCGAGCCGCATTCATGAAAACCCCCTTCACCCTTGTGCTGGGAATGTTGACCAGAGTCTGTCATGTTGTTACGTAGTCCTTCCCTGGGT